TCTCTCTCTCTCTCTCTCTCTCTCTCTCTCTCTCTCTCTCTCTCTCTGTGTGTGTGTGTATGTCTGTGTTTTTTTTTTTTTTTTTGGTCAAAGCAGGGAGGCAATATTATTACGGAGCGAAGGAAAAAAACTAAGAAAAAATAATAAAAAAAAAGAAAATGCGGAGCTAAGCGGGGCCGGGGGCCAAATTTTCAGAAAAAAACTCCTTTCATCGTTGTCACGCTGCGTACGAGTTTTCAGGAAAAAAATAAAATAAATAAATGAAGGAAAATAATAAAATATAGAACAAGGAAAAAGAGAGCTCCTCCGACAGGAGGTTTTACTATCAGGGCTATGCAGACAAAATAAATTCGTTTCCTTTTTTTTTTTTTTTTTTTTTCACATTAATTTTGTCTGCATTGACCTAACCTTTCTTGGTTCATAAACCCAGACCCCTTGGTTAATAACCTAACCTAACCTTGGTTCATGAACCCAGACCTACCTGAGTTCGGACCCCACTGGAAGCAGACAGATGAGTGAAATACAAATACTACAATTCTGAGTTACCGAGGGCCGGTCCGTTCGATGATGATGAGATCTCACGGCCGTCACCCTTTTTTAAAAGAACAGAAAAGCTAAGAAAATGCATTTCCAGTTCTCTGTACAGCCTCATTGTTTTGCGGCTAAGTTGAAGTGCATCATGAAGCACAACAGCTTCACCTCCGTGTAGTGGTCAGGTTTATGAACCAAGGTTAGGTTTATAATCCTGGTAAACCTACCGGGTTTGTGAATATACAAGGTTTATAAACCTGCCAGAAATACGAACTTATGAACCAACAAGGTATGGGTCTATGAACCAAGGCTAGGTTTATAATCCTGGTAAACCTACCGGGTTTGTGGTTTGTGGATACAAGGTTTATAAACCTGCCAGGAGTTTGAAGTTATGAACCAACAAGGTTTATAAACGTGGCAGGAATATGAAATTATGAACCAAGGTTAGGTTTATAATCCTGGTCAACCTACCGGTTTTGTGAATATACAAGGTTTATAAACCTACCAGGAATACCAAGTTATGAACCAAGGTGTGTAATCTCGGTAAAGCCACCGGGTTTATGAACCAAGGTTTGTTAAATGTGGCAGGTCTATGAAGTTATGAACTGAGGTTTATAATCCTGGTAAATCTACCAGGTTTATGAACCAAGGTTTATAAACCTACCAGGACTATGAAGTTATGAACCAAGGTTTATAATCCTGGTAAACCTGCCAGGTTTTATGAACCAAGGTTTATAAACCTACCAGGAGCATGAAGTTACAAATCGAGGTTGACAATTTGGGTAAAGCTACCAGGTTTATGGACTAAGGTTTATAGACCCCTACCACGCGTATGAAGTTATGAACCAAGGTTTATAAAGCCCTACCAAGTCTGCGAAGCAAGTTCTATATAATCCCGGTAAACCTACCAGGTGTATGAACCAAGGCTTATAAACCCTAAACCAGGTCTACGAACCAATGTATGTAAACGTACCCGGCTTGTGAACCAACGGTTTATAAGCCATATAAGTGGGTTTTGCACCGCTGTATTATTCATATACCCCCCTTCCATTTGCTTATTTCTTGACAGTAGTAAGACCTGGTGTCCAGCGCCACGCGGCTCTTATGCATGCACGTTTTTTCTGAACATTGGTTTGGGGACTGTGCAGTGATGACGTTGCGGTTTACGTCGTCGTCATCGATGTGCGATTCTCTTTTTTCGCAGTCCTCCTGGTTTTGTTCGTAATAACCGCACTTCATTTCCCTCCCCTCTCCCTTCCCTCTTGTTGTAGAAGTTGTGCCGTCTCTTCATAACGAGGATCTGGCTCTCACTCGCCCCGTAACCTCACAGGAAGGAAGATCCTTGTCGTTCTTGTCAACAAGGACCGTCCTTCACACTCTCCCTCTAACCCCCTTGTAACTTCCCTGAAACTTCCCTGAAACTTCCCTGAAACTTCCCTGAAACTCCCTGAAACCTCCGTGAAACCTCCGTGAAACCTCACTGTAACCTCACTGTAACCTCACTGTAACCTTACTATAACCTCACGGGAAGGCAGATCCTTTCACACACTCTCCCTGCAACCCCTCTTTTCAGACTCTTCTGTAACCTCCTTTCACACTTTTCCTGTAACCGCCGTGTGACCGACCTCACGGGAATGCAGATCCTTTCGCACTCTTCTTGTAGCTTCCCTGTAACCTCCCTGTAACCTCCCTGCAACCTCCTTGTAACCTCCCGGTGACCTCACTGTGACCTCACTGTAACCTCACTGTCACCCTCCTGTAACCTCACGGGAAGGCAGATCCTTTCACACTCTTCTTGTAGCCTCCTTTCACACTCTTCCTGTAACCTCCGTGTGACCTCGCGGGAAGGCAGATCCTTTCACATTCTTCTTGTAAGCTCCCTGTAAACTCCCTGTAAGCTCCCTGTAAGCTCCCTGTAACTTCCCTGTAGCCTCCCTGTAGCCTCCCTGTTACCTACCTGTGACCGCTATGTAACCTCACCGGAAGGCAGGCCCTTGTGGACAAGGATCTGTCTTCACACTCTCCCGGTAACCTCCCTTCACGGGAAGACATAGGAGCTGTAATTCTTGGGAGTGAAGGACATCAGCTGTCGGGTGTCGTCCTGTTGGATTGTAATGGTTCTTGAGGGTCTCGTTGTTTCGGGAATATCTCGAAAACTACTCCCTGGGGACCTGTGTCCTTCAATCTTGCTTACTAGAACGAACTTTTTGAAACAACAATGTTCGACTTAACCTCTTCGTAGTCTGTACGCTTTGGATGCGTAGAAAGCTAAAATTGCAAAAAAAAAAAAGCCAAAATTGAAGCTAAAAACATCACGTTTATCACAACAAGGGAGGGTACACAGGCATTGTGATTTTCGGCTGTGAGAATCGCGTACCCTCATGTCATGTATTGGAGGAGTGGTTGGAATGTGTTTGGATGCGACGGGTGGGTGTCAATGTGTTTGGAAGACTCTGGTACCGTCTTCACCCGAATGGTAGGGTGTCAAATCTTCCCTACCTATATATGTTCTGTTCGGGGAGGAAGATGTTAGCAATGTCTTTGGAGGACTGCTCCAGGAGGAGCATAATCATGATGGTAGGGAGAAGGTAGGTAGTCATGGGGGGGTTGTGATTCAACAGACAATACGTGAAGTACGTGAAGTGGGTTGACATGTGAATGAGTCTGTGTGCCGTTTAGGTGGGTGTAGAGAAGATTTGAAATGGGTTGATTTCTGAATGAGGTGAGGCTGGGGTACTTCATGGGGTTGCTGTGGGTTTTGGATTTACCAGGACGAGATGGAGCCGGAGGAACAGGAAGGCCGGGGAGATATGGACGAACCCGTCGAAGAAGGAGATAGGGAAATGGAACCAGAGTCTCAGCCGGAGAGACGGCGGGTTACAACGAAATATATGACCAAATATGAAAGGGCGCGTGTATTAGGAACAAGGGCATTGCAGATAAGGTCTGTTCTTCTTAATCCTTTACTCGACGTTCCTTCATTATGCAAGGTGCAGATCTCTCTCTCTCTCTCTCTCTCTCTCTCTCTCTCTCTCTCCCCCCCCCCTTAGAAATTCTTGTCACCCTTGGAGTGAAATTTCTCATTTTCAGAGAGCATCATATTGTCTTTATGCTCTTTTTCTCAGCTTCTTTCTCATTGCTGCATGGCAGCTGACGGGCCCAAACGGTCAGTGGTTTGCCAGTAGGTTGGATTTTACTCTTGGAGGGTCGTATTTTTCTCAACTTCGTGTCAGTGGAGGGCTGAACAAACACCTGTAAATTGCATTCGGACCCTGGTTGTGCCCAGAGGTGACTGCGGAGGGAAAGGTGGGGACACTGGGGCATAGCCGAGTGGGGGAGGGAAGGAAGGGAGGGCCTCAGAAGAAACAGTCCAATGCTGGTGGCATGTTCTACAATTGATGATGACGAGGAGGAGGAGAATAAGAAGAAGAGGAAGGAGCAAGAAGGAGGAAGAGGAGGCGGAGAAGAAGAAGAAGAAGAAGAAGGAAGAAGGGCGAACTGCCGACGACGCAGGAGGAGGAGGAGGAGCAAGAAGGGTGCACTGCCGGTGACTCACCTGGAAGAGGAGGAAGGAGGAGGAGGAGGAGGAGCACGTGGGGTGCACCGCTGGTGACACAGGTGAAGGAGGAGGAGGAGGAGGAGCACGTGGGGTGCACCGCTGGTGACACAGGTGGAGGAGAAGAACAGAAGGAGCAAGAAGGGTGCACTGCTGGCAACGCAGGGGAAGGACGAGGAGGAGGAGGAGGAGGAGGAGGAGGAGGAGGAGGAGCAAGAAGGGTGTGCTGCTGGCAACGCATTTGATGGATCCTCAAGGTTTCTTCGTTATGAGAAGCATGCCACCTGTATCAAATGCGCTGTCAGCAGCAATAGTATGGTTAATACGAAGAACTGTGAGCGCCACACATCTCTAAACCATGCCAAACGCAGAGTGTTTAGAGATACAGGTGAAGGAGGAGAGCAGATTGGTCAGATTATCCCCCTCCATACACCTGTCGACTCGCACCAAGCACACCCAAACTCAAACATGAAAGCAGCAGATTTCACACAAGAGGCCAGGATCACACTGAGAGATAAGTCCCCCTTCTTTCGCCGCTCCTCATGGATACCACTTGGCCCACATCTCGTATTATCATTGTTTGTCAGAGTACCTGATCGTCAAGCAGCACGAAGAGACAATGGCCCGAAAGACCGGACGAATTCCAACTCAACCGTGCCCACTGCCGTTATCCTCCTCTCTCCTCCAGCCTCTTCCAGGCTCATTAATTCTCGGGAGACGACTCGTTGGCCAACCTTGCCGCTCACGCGTACTTCAAGGCTTATACTCCCAACAAGAACTCGAGTCGTGCTTTCCGTGCCACCTACGTAACTACCATCGTCCCCCCGAACACAACACACCGTGAGTACGACTGCATCCCACCGGGAAGATGGGTTGTATACACATTCGTAATCAGGTGCGTTGTGTTCGGGAGAAGACGGTAGGCAACCTACCTCCTCCCTTCCAGGCGGTCAACGATAGCCCAGCAGCAGTGCAGGTGAAGTACTCTCTCTCATGTCAATTAATGATTAGACCTTCACTACCAAATGACTCGACAATCAGCCCAGCAGCAGGGAGATCTCTGCACTCATCGATTAGTATGTTCTCTGCCTTGAGAGAGCAGTTCGATTGAATGGATTGGGGCTGGCTGGCCGCTAGACTCTTCCTTCAGCCGGTGGGTGTTCAGACCCTCTACTGGTTGCTGTGGAGGCCGGGGTGGACCTCGTCAGTCGCAACAGAAGCTTCTATTTTGTCTTGTGCTCTGTATTTGGCCTATAATCTAGAGTATGTATGCCAGAGATCCAGTCAGCACCGGAAGCTTCAGCCCACATTTTAGGCCTAAGAAAATTGACGACAATCCTTTTAATCATGGAAAATACGTTGCAGATAAGTTCCTGTGCGGACAATTTTCACAGATGCCCTCGGCTTGTTAGCTATTTTCAAGACAAGGTCAAATAATGACAGTCAAGGGTAACGAAATGTGATACTTGCAATTTTGAAAGAAGGGGAAGGACGTATGCGCAATTTGCAAAAAACTTGAAAGGGCCTACTGTAGTGTAGTCTGTTTTGGTCAGCCAGCTATATACGGGCCCTGCTCCTCTTAATCTCCAGATGCATGAAAGACAAAATATATGCCTGTGTATCTTTCCATTTTCTAGCGGCAGATTCATTCTCATTTTGCACATTCAGAGAGTCGTGGAGCGAGGCCCGTAGTCTTGGAATGACCCTTCGGTGTGTTGCAATGCCGGAGTTCATTCCAGTAGAGAGAGCTGATGACCTATCGAGCCATCGTGGGTGACGATTAGCTCTGAGACATTGGCTGCTTGTTGCCTACCATTTGGTGCCGTGCCGACCCATCAGCGGTGCGGTTGGAGGTGCGCACCACCCAGCTGGATGCTGACCATCAGTGGTGCACCCGCTGGATTAGTATCTCACTTTCTGTACACTGTGGATGGATCCATGCATTTCAAAATTTCTATGCCGATGGGAACGGCATTTCATCCCAAACTTTCTCCGCTTGACTCATTGGGTCTGACAAAGAACCTCGCCTACCTGTCCACGATTGCCACGATCAGCAATTTCTCCCGCTTCAGCAGTGCACGCCATCTTTTTATCGCTGGCCTCTCATGTTCCTCTCACCTTTCTTGTGTTCTCTATTCATTTGTCTACTTTTTCTTCTTTGCCGTCTCCCTCGTGCGTTGAGCACTTCATGCAACTTCCCCTGCTCTTCGCTCTGATCACATGCACAATGTTATTCTATTGCATGGTTATGCCAGACCCGGACACCGGACCAGTCCAGACATGCGGCCAGACCTGTGTCTGGACTGCTCCAGACTGTCTGGATTGAAACCCCTCCTTAAACCACCACTACCTTTCGCATATGTCGGCCGCGGGCATCTAGTAGCCTACTCCTGAAAAATAGCCGCCACACCGCCGTCGATATTTTCATTGACGGTGCGTGGCGGCCGAATTTGAATTTGAGGCCCGCGGCCCCACATATGAGAAAGGTAGTGGGGGTTAAAAAAAAAAAAAAACTGTTTTTTTTTGCCCCCCTTTGTATTCGGCTTACGGATTTCGAGGTGGTCCTCAGCCCAAAGTTTTTTTTGTATTGCAATGCTGCATAACATGTCTTTTTTTCAGAGTTTTTTTATTTTTTTAGGTCGGACTTGTTTTGGGGGGTGGGGGTAGGGGGATGGTTCCGGACACTCTGGACCAGACACCAGACCCAGACATCCGGACCCAGACCGTATTTACTGCGGTCCGCACGTCCGGATCACAACCATCGTCTTATTGTTTCTTCCCTTTACGAGAGAACTGCAAGGAACATGAATATGGACGAAGCACAGAAATCCAGAATGCAAAATCACACTGAAGTCCAAGTAGTCAAAGACAAAGCAGATAGCACATGGAACCGAGTAACCATTCCATTGAGAATGATACAGAAGAATCGTGAGTCAATGTCCATGCCGAACAGGGCAACACCAACAGCATAACCCAAATGTAGCTCTCTCTTGTGAATGGCGCCAGGCGCCCTATCTACTCTACAGCCTAGCCTACAACTACAGCAATGAAAGCAACCAGACAACTTGACTACCAGCGAGTGATGATGTCAACACCAATGCCGACCTCCACCTCCACCAGGTACGTGTCCTCTTCCCCACACTCTCCCTTGTTACCCACACAGCGCCCTTCACCTCCGAAGACCACCTTCGCCCTTCACCCTCCCTGCACCCTCATGCGGCCCGGCTATGGCCGCCAGTGCCCTGGTGCGCAGGCAGCGCCCTACCGCCTAGTGCTGGCCTGCCTTGCACCTCTCTTAGCGCAGCGCAGCAGCAGCAGCAGCTCGCATTTGCGCAGCGTGCCGGCATTGCCCGCAATCTCCAAGATGCCTGCCCACTCGCCCTGCTTGCCTATATGCCAGTGCAGCGTGTGGGCGGCCTCCCTTCAGCCTGTGACCGGGACCCAGAGGCTGAAGCCAACCCGATACAGTTGGGCCCCGGGGCAACGCAGTTGTGCCTCTTTCGTCAAGGCCTGAGGCCAGATTCAGATAGTGGGCCGATTTCCCTTTGGCATTTTCGGCCTCTATACCCAGCATGCATTGTCGGCCTCACGTTCGAGTGCCCAGGGCCTAACTAACTCAGAGGCCCTGGGCTTTCAGCATTTGCTGAAATCCGAGACTCGGTGCACTCCAACCAACTCTGTCTCTTATACACATCTAGATGTGTATAAGAGACAGCTCTATACCCAGCATGCATTGTCGGCCTCACGTTCGAGTGCCCAGGGCCTAACTAACTCAGAGGCCCTGGGCTTTCAGCATTTGCTGAAATCCGAGACTCGGAGCACTCCAACCAACTGGCGTGCTGCAACTGTATGGCCCCCACTTCGTGAAATGTTGGCACAGAGGGCTCTTGTTGATTTGCTGGCCCGCCTTCACTTAGGGCGGGCACGAGGCTTGCTGGGGCCTTAGCCCAGAACATGTACATCATGGCAAGGCCCCTACTTGAGGGCACAATCCTCACAGAGCGTTTTTTTTTTTTCTCCCCAGTGGTGGCATATCAAAGTAGAGGTTTGTGTGGAGGTTGCGGACGGAGCGAATTTACTCAACGATGATGATTGGAATCCTTATCCTCTATGTGATGGCAGCGATGGGCATATCATCTCGATTCTCGACCTCATGTCTTCCATGGTTTACTCCAGCATGTGCTGTGTTCGTAATGCATTGCGGTTCCCAACCTTTTCCGTCTGGAGTCGATCTCTGGTCCGTATTTTGGCAGTTCATTCGTTTACCAACAGAGCTCGGCCCATCGGTATTGCATTTCCTGTCTTGTTCAACGGCCGGGCATTGTTCTGAATTTAGTAATTTACACACAGATGGGTTGGGGATGAGGAGGAGGAGGAGGAGGAGGAGGAGCTCTTGTTGTTTCTATTTGGCAATGTATACAGAGAGACGGAGGAGTGCAAACTAGTTGAGCTGATGTGTGTTGCCTGCTTGGACCTGCTTTGCAGTATGAATGCCCCCGTGATGGTTGAGCTTGAAGGTGAGACTGACCCGCTTGAGGTGAGTGCGAGGAAGCTCCTCTTCTTCTTCTTCTTTTTTTTTTTTTTTTTTTTTAAACGCCCAGGTTKTTKTTKWGGCTYCKYWTTTCACAGAGYTKWGTTGTTACAGGYGTTGGATGCATTTCGTAGAGTCCCTCYCTCTCTCTCKSTTTTTTTTTTTTTTTTTTTTTTTAATAATGAAAAAGGATGAGGCCTTGTGATATCACACTATTAAATGGACCAGCCCCAGGGAATTGACGAGTTTGATTCGCCTACATCCCCAACTTGATCCGAACTCAGGTCTGCATGTCATTTTTCAACCATTCGTGGGTGTACCAACTGACCTAGGCCCATTGGTACATGAATTTACTGTTTGGATTCCCAACATTTGCGCAATTCCCAACATCGCAACGTTTTTTTCCGAGTCCGTCAAGCAATGAGCGCCTAGCTCAGTGGGTACACCCATGAACTGTTGAAATCCAGACCCAAGTTCGAATCCTGATGGACCTACGAGATGTAGGCCATGACGTAATTCTACATTACCCGGGGCCGGTGAACTTGTTCATGATTGTATCTCTTAAGGCCATTGCTCTTTCAAAAACAAACTTTTTCCTTTTTTTAAGTTTTTTTTGAGTGCGGCCCCTATATTTTTCCCTCCCTCGCATTCTCTGTGGGGGAATATAAGGTAGTTTTTGCGCATTTGCCACTGCCTGCTGCCCTTCTTGCCATGCATGCAAATGATACACAAATGTCCATGCATGCTTGCAAATGTGCTCGCCTGCGTGTACAATTGTGCGTGCTCACGCATGCAGGCGTTGTCGTGTACGAAAGCACGTTGAACATGGAGTCTAGGGACGATGGGATGCATACTTGTTATTGATAATTCGAGGTAGGTCCGCACGTGCTGTCGCAGCAATCAGCGGACTAACGTCGTAAACGATGAGTGTCGGTCCGTGGTCTGCGCCGGATGTCGTAAATGACGAGTGTCGGTCCGTGGTCTGCGCCGGATGGTCGTAAACGATGAGTGTCGGTCCGTGGTCTGCGCGGGATGGTCGTAAACGATGAGTGTCGGTCCGTGGTCTGCGCCGGATGGTTTTTGGGGCGTACCAACCGACGCAGGAACAGGAGGAGGAGAGGATTCAGATGCGCCGTTGGAGAAAAATAAAATAAGATGATGCAGTAGCGGGAATGTTTTCACGGCAACGAACTCTCGCTAGTATGGAAGCCTAGTGATGAGAGTGGAACAGGGTTGCAACGGTCAGTCGAGTACAAAAATGCAGGTACAGGTAGGTCCTGCGCGCTCTGACGAGGGGTCGAAGAGAAAGCACCGCACACATGACACAATGGGAACAAAAGGGGTAAAGATGAGCAAAGCACGCAGAGTCGCAGACATATGAATTTAAAAAAAAAAAAAAAAGTTTGTCAAACCATTTACACCACCAGTAAGTTGTTAATGCGGTGGATGAATCGGCCCACTGCGCGGGTCTGTATTCATTCGCGTCAGAGGGGGCCTAAGAACCCACGGTAGCTTCTGGTGGTTGTAAGGTGTGAAGCAGAACAATCATTCAAGTCATCATTGTTATACAGGACTATATGGAATGAATTTCAATGAAATAAAATGAAAGACAAAAAAAAGGAAGTTGATTTCAATTGGGCCCAGATATGCATGCCCCTTTCACTGAGAGGCAGTCGGGGCCTGCTATTCGTTCATTCCGCCGATTAGGCGAGACTACGGTGCCTTGCTTTTTTTTTTTTTCGTGTAGTCTTTTTGTCTTTTTGAACTCTTTTGTCTTTTCTCTCATCTAAGGCGCCTCTTTCTGAGGGGCCTTTCGTAAGCGGAAATGGGCCAGTTGTTGTGGTTTGGGTCGATTTCAGTATTGCCACAAATTCGAAAAAGTAATAGCATAACATAACAAGAATAGCGAGCTCGATCGCAGATTCTGCAGCCGCAACAGTGAGTACGAATAAAGCAGATAATAATTGACCCGAAGGGCCAAAGGAGAATATTTTTTTATTCAATGTATAGATAGGACTGTGGTAGAAAAAAAAAAAAAAAGGTTAGTGTTTTTATAAGTAAGTAAGAACTTAAAAAAAAAAAAAAAAAAGTTAGTACCCTGCCCAAAGGTTTTGCGTGGTAGAGGGCAGTGGAGATGCTCTGTACCTTCCAGTTCTGGAGATGGGATCTTTCCCTTTTTTTTCTTTTTTTTTTTCTTTTTTTTTTGGAATTATATAAAAAGAGGGGTCTTTCCTTGTCCAGGGAGAAGCAGAAGGCTTCGTTTTCCTGTTGTTAAGTCTGCTTGTGGTTGTTCGTTGATTTTTTTTTTCAATTCCGAATTTATTTATTCCCTCCGTCCAGGTGCATCAGGACAGGATTCGAATTTAGGTCTGTGCTTCAACAGCTCATGGGTGTACCAACTGAGCTAAGCTCGTTGGTACTGCTGCATTCATCATCATTTATGTCCAAATCTTTTTTGCCAGTACGCGCTCTGTTTTTTCTTTGTTGTCACTCCTTTTTTTGGTTGTTTTGGCCAGTGATTATTGTTACGATGAACAGCTCGACACCGGTCGCAGAGAGGCATGCATTATGAAATCTGTTTCCAGCTGTGGTGCGGCTCCCCCTCGAGTATCGGCTTTCAAATTACGGCAATGTTGCTCACCCCACGCGCTGGCCTGGGTAGTAAGAAATGGGTGGGGGTAGGGTGCAGCAGCAAGGTTTTGCAGGGCTTCTTCTTTGAGACCTTTTTCGTGCCGTTTCTTTTTGCAAAATTTAAGCGGAAATGTATAGCATATGCCCATGCAATTGGCTGTCGCACTCCGCGTCGACTGCTCTGTCTCCCGTCCTTTTCTCCCGTGCCCCCTCCAAAGTACCTATGCTGCGCACTCAGCAGTCACGTGGACTTCTGTCTGACGCGTGGACCTGTGTGGCATCCAATCTTGGCTGGTCTAAATCTGGTCCTGTCTCGGGCCCGCCGGAATGGCAGGGTAACAAAGGTCCCTTCCTGGGCCAGCATGGTGGTCAAGAATGCTCATGGTCGGGTCTGTATTCAGTCCAGTTTAGACTGAATATAGACTGAATATAGACTGAATATATAGACTGAATGTAGACTGAATATAGACCCGCCGACCATGGGCATACACTATACGTTTCCTCTCAAGTCTGATTTGACTGCGTGTCCCAAATCGGACCCGAGTTGTATGACAAGGTGGCGGGTGAAGCGTGGTTCAGTCTTTTGGTAAGAAGACATCAGAGTCCTGTGGCTGATTTCTAAATGGCAGACTGACCTGGTCCGTTGTATTCCAGTTTTTCAGATAGAGTTCAGTGGCATTCCATTTTTTTCATAGCGAAGTTGTGGAGGCGCACGGTCGAAGCCCACGTATTTAACATGATTGCTGGTTCAGATTCGTCCGTGGTCAGCGTATGTATCTGTCACTGCCTGAAGTGGGGGGGTGAATGCGTTCGTAGAGAAACGAGGGGATTGATTGATTGTTGGTATTTTTTCTTGCTCTCTATTTGAGAGGTAGATGCGAGAAAGCTCGTAATGTATTTGTGACCTTGTCAATGACTGTCTTGCTGTGCATGTGTCCTTGCATCCATGCGCATGCATGTGACGCTGCTCTGTCTTGCATGTGTCGGTTGCAGATTGCTATGAAGGAGCTTCGGCAACGGAGGATCCCCTTTACCATCAGAAGATACATGCCGGATGGCAGGTATGGGCATATATACGCTCTAGAGTCTAGAATGAGAACGGCGACGAGGAAGCAAAGGAAAGTACGGTTACGGTCGGCGCAACTGGAATGAGAAGAGGAGCTCAGTAGGACCTCAGTCAGTTGGTATACCCAGTTGGTATACCCATCAACTTTTGAAATACAGACCCAAGTTCGAATGCAGATAAAAATTCATAAAATCAAAAAAGGTAAAAAAGAGAAGGAAGCAAGAGAAAGTACGGTTACTGTCAGCTCAACTGGAATGAATGAGAGATTGTCAGTTGGTATATGCCCACAAACTTTTGAAATACAGACCCAAGTGCGAATCCAGTTGGTATACCCATCAACTTTTGAAATACAGACCCAAGTTCGAATGCAGATAAAATCAAAAAAGGAAAAAAAGAGAAGGAAGCAAGAGAAAGTACGGTTGCTGTCACAGCTCAACTGGAATGAGAGATTGCTCAGTTGGTATGCCTATGAACTTTTGAAATACAGACCCAAGTGCGAATCCAGGTAAAAATTCCATAAAATCGAAAAAGGAAACAAAGAGGAGGAAGTGTCCTTCAGGACATCCGTTAAAATTGGAACGAAACAGAGAAGATTAGCATGGCCCCTGCGCAAGGATGACACACAAGATTTTTTTAAAAAAAAAAGAAAAAAGAAAAAAGAAAAAAAGAGGAGGAAGCAAAAGACAGTACAGTTACTGTCAGCTGAACTGGAATGAGAAGTAGCTCAGTTGGTATGTAGCCATGAACTGTTTTGGGACTGGTTTTGGACCTTGCATGGCTACTATGAGTCCCCCTCCCCCTCCCCTTCCCCCCCCCCCCCCCCCCCCCCCAATACAAGGTAACCAGTTGCCTGGCTACGATGAGCTCTGTCAAGGGTTCGTAGCAAGTTTGTCACTACGCCAATTTCTATTTTTTTCTCTCAATCACAGGCTTCTACGTTTCTGATTTGCAGTACAGGTATGGCTGATAGCAAGAAATGGGATAGTAACTTAATAAGAGATCGACAGGCCTTGCGCAGTTGGCAGTACCGGATACACCGATAAACTGTTGAAATCCAGGCTTGAGTTCAAATCCAGATGGAAGTGGATGAATAAAATAAATGATCTCAGAATTATCTGGGGCCGGGCAGTCCCACGATGATAATCCCACGGCCGTTGCCCTTTCCGTAAGAGGGGGGGNGGGGGGGGGGGGGGGGGGGGGAAGAGAAAGAAGGAAAGAAATGCGAGGAGAGGTGCTGACGAGCCTAGCCTAGCAGAGTTGTTTCTGATGTTGCTGATCTCCGGATTGTTGGAGTCAGAGAAGTTTTATCATTTTTTTTCGTGCTGTGCTTGGTTTTGCTTTGTTTTTTCGTTTGGTATTTTTTCGTGCTGTGCTTGGTTTCACGCTTTGTTCGTTTCTTATTTTTTCATGATGTGCTTGGTTTCGTGCTTTGTTCGTTTCGTATTTTTTCATGCCGTGCTTGGTTTCGCTTTGTTCGATTAGTGTTTTTTTCGTGCTGTGCTTGGTTTTGCTTTGTTCATTTAGTATTTTTTCATGCTGTGTTTGGTTTCATTTTGTTCGTTTGCTGTTTTGCAGTTATGAAGACTGGGGAGTTGACGAGCTCATCATCGAAGACAGCAATCGCAGAGATCTCTAACTGGAAAAGCATCACCCGGAAAAGGTGAGGGAGAGGATCAACAGACACACCATCGATGGGCACGCGGGCCAAGCATGCGGTGTACTCTTTGTACGTCTTTGCGAGTTCTCGTCTGTTAAAAGACTAGTACCTTTGCCGTCCAGTTTCGAGAAGTTTTAGCCTGGTCCCGAACTTTTAGGAGGCCGGGTACCTTTGCCGTCCAGTTTTGAGAAGTTTTAGCCTGGTCCCGAACTTTTAGGAGGCCGGGCTGCCGTTGATAAACCTGATCAACGGCTGTCGTTTCATTTCGGTCTCCTGAAAGGTCGTAGGCCCATTCACTATTTTCCGAACCGACAATGGTACTAGTGCTTTATAAAGAACGACGGGGCAGCATCAGTGGTTGGCCGAGCATACAGACTAAGATAACGCAGCTGTGAATGTACTGACCACAAGAAGGAATGAGTGAGAAAGGTGCCCTGGCATGTCTTGCGGCTTTTGTGTGATTTTGAAGATGATTGAAAGGACTAGCAGTGGTTCGGAGAGCATACAGGCTGGATAACATAGCTCTGAATGTAGTGAGCACAAGAAGTAAGGAACGAGCGACGAAACGCAAAGCTGTGAGTGTAGTGATCACAGGAAGGAATGAGTGTGAAAGGTGCCCTGGCATGTCTTGCGTCTTTCTGATTTTCTGAAGATGATTGAAAGGACTAGCAATGGTTTGGAGAGCATACAGACTGCATAACATAGCTGTGGATGTAGTGCGCACAAGAAGGAAGGAAGGAACGAACGAGTGACAAAACACAAAGCTGTGAATGTAGTAGTGATCACAGGAAGGATTATGAGTGTGAAAGGTGTCCTGGCATGTCTTGCTTCTTTTTTCTGCTTGTGAAGATATGATTCTGTAAGAGTTTTTTTTATCAACTTTCATTATGGGATTTGTGTTCGCAAAAAAGACACTAGAACTTGGCACAACAATGCTAGAGTACGCTCTTCTCAGAAAGAAGATCATGGTGTTTTTGGAATAGAGGAGACTTGAACCAGGTTATGTGGTTTAGGAGAGAACCCCGAGTGAGGTGCGGCGTGTTGATCGTCGTAACAACCTCCATCAAGGACTTAGGCTAAGAAGAGTGTTTGCGGCGCCTAGCGATTTTTGTAGAGAGTTTTATGAGGTTTCACATATTCTAGTAGACGCTTAGACTGTTCTCCACCTTGTGGGAGAAAGGCGGCAGGGATGCCTATGCTTGTGACTGTCATCATCCTTTATGGCCCATGATGGTCTGTAGATTGACCATTTCCCATTTTACTAGGGGTTGGGAGTGTGGTCCTCTCATGAGGGGTTGACTTTTGTGGTGGTCGTTAGTGTTTAGCATGTGGGTCAGATGTTGTACTTGCAGGTGTATAATTGGACTTGCATTTAATCTCTCTCTCTCTCTCTCTCTCTCTCTCTCTCTCTCTCTCTCTCTCTCTCTCTCTCTCTCTCTCT